TGACAGCACTTGGCCTGCAGACCCAAAGATTTGGGGGGTTGGGGGAGCATAGGGAGCTGGGGTAACCCTTGCCTTGGGAAGCCAAGGGAGCATCCAGCCTTAGCATGGTGAGTGCTTGGGGAAGGCTCACCTCAGGGTATCGGAAACGGAAGTCCAGTCGGCCGTAATCCGAGAGGAAGCAAAATCTCGTCAGGAACACCCAGTCCTGGAAAAGGGGCCACTCAGACCCTCTTCTGAGTCCCTTGAGAACTCTCGACTCCACAGACACCCCCCAACTTTTCTTCCCTACCCTGGAATACCTGGTTTCCCAAGAAGCATAAGGGGACCAAGTCACCTCCAAAATTCTTCTGTGATCCTTTCACCTTGGTTCCAGGATTCCTCCTTCAGATGCCCCCACCCCCAAGTTTCTTCCCCTCCTTTCAAACACTTCTCCCATTTGCCAGGTGCCTGAGAAAGACCCTGGAGGGCCAGATCCCCATACTGGTCACCTTGCATCAGGGATACCATCCCACTGGCTTTCCCCTAATTATCCACACACGCCCTCACGGTGGTCCCAGAGACCATCAGGTGCTGGGGAGTATTCCAAACGGCCCTCTCCTGGTCCTGAACAGGAGTGTGAACTCAGGCTCAATGCGCAGTGAAAAGTGCTGTCCCTTCAGCACCACCTCGGCGTCCCCCACCCCCACCCCAAACTCCGACTCTCCCAACCCGGCCCCCCTCCTCGCCCAACTCTGACCTCAATGTCCCTCCTACAATCCCCGAGTCTCCTCTCGACCCAATGGCCCCCCCTCAGCCTCAACCCAGACCCAGTCCCGCACTGTGCCTGCCCACCCCCCACCCCACCCCCCGCGCAGCACTCAGGGACCGCCCGAGAGAGGCGGCAGGGGGCGGGGCGGGACCTGCCCCCTCCCCTCCCTCTCGTCCCTCGGGGGCCCGGCGGGTGGCAGGGGAGGGGAGGGCCCGGCGCGCTCACCTCCTTGGAGCTGAGGTTGCCCCTCACATACTTGGCCCGGGCGCGGGGGGGCAGTGGCAGCAGCAGGAGTAGCAGCGGCGGCAGCAGCAGGCGGCGCAGAGCGGGCGCGCGCGGGGGCTCCATTACACCCGCTCCGACCCCAGCTCGGGCTCCGCTCCGGCTCCCACTCCGGCCCGGCGACGGCGGCGAGAGCGCGCGGGCCGGCTGGCGCGCGCCCCCGATTAAAGGGGCCGCCGGAAGCCGCGTTCCCTGCCCCCTCCTCCAGGATGACCCGGCCTGGACCCTTCCCAATCCCCGTGGGAGGGGACGCCCCTTTCCCAGCCTCTCCACGCCTCCGCAGCCTCAGTCCTCCCCTCTGGGAATCTCCTTGGTACCTCCAGCTCCCCGTGTCCTAAAGTGAACTCATTCCCCCAAGCCAAGTATCCTCCTCCAGACTGCCATCTCAGGATGGCCCACAACCCCCAGGCCCCAGCTCTGTCCTGACCTCCCCCCAGTTTAGTCCCCAAACTGCTCTTTGACTGCCCATCCCCGCCCCCATAACAGCCATCACCATCTGTGACCACCACAAATTCCATGCACTCTGTGAAGTGCCTACAGAGACACAGAAGCATAGAGTAGGCAAACCACTTGTTCTGGGTCACACAGCTCCGAGGTGGCAGAGAGCCTTCAGCCACAACCACTACACCCTGCTGCCTGACCCTGCCCTGTCACTGCTTACCAGGGTCTGAAACCAGCTGCTGTGAGGCAGAAGAGGTGGTATTGTGAGAAACCCACAAGCAGACTCTGAAATCAATTGCTTGGGCTCAAATCCCAGCATTGCCACTTCCTTCCCATAAAACCTCAGCCAAGTCACAGCTGTGTGACCTCCCAGTCCAGTCCCCTACACCCTGGTACTGACTTTATGGTTTCCCTGTGGGCAATGGGGAGCCCTGGAAAAGCTTTACAGAGTACAGTCCAAGCCCCTCAGCTTCATTTTCCTGATCAGATTCCAACACATTTCCAGCTTCATCCCTCCCCCTCCACTGCAGAAAATCTGCTGCTCCTCAAAATATCATTTTAAAAAACTTTCTAAGTCAGGAGGCCAAGCAGGAAACGTAAATGTGTGAAATGCTTTCAAAGGAGAGTGTGGACCCCACAAAAAAGGAGCCTCTGCTACTTGGCTTCAGCCAGTTGTTAACAGGAGGGATAGTAGGTCTGCTGCCAGGTTTCTTTCCTTCCTCCTTCCCTCCTTCCCTCCCCTCCCTCCTTCCCTCCCCTCCCTCCTTCCCTCCTTCCTTTCTTTCTCTCTTTTCTTTTATTTTGAGAGAGATTTTTTTTTTTTTTCAAATCAAGCACACTGGTTTGTAACAGTAGATAACTGATTCTAAAATGTTAAATATACTGTAGTCCAAAGAAAAAAGTCTGTCGCCATATCCAGGCCTCATGTGCCATTCCTGCCCGGATCCTGCACACACACTGTTCCTGTGCCCACCAGACCAGAAACCTCTCATAGGCAGAGCCCAGACGTGACTCACTCTAGATCCCAGCATGGCCTAGGGATATAGGGTGAATGAAAATGGTCCCACATCCCCTATTTGCCCTCCTCCAGGCCTTGCACATGCTGTTCCACAGAAGAGCATTTCTAGATTGCCTGAAATATTCTTTTCCTTCTCTACTAGCAAGTTTCTACCAAACTTAAAAAATACAAGGGTCTTATGTCAACTCCCTCATCAGCAGGGCAGAGTCATGACTCCCTCCTTGGACTCCCTCAGCCCCTGCACCTCTCTCTCTCCCAGATGCAACCACTAGGGCTGAAACTGTCTGTGTTCACCACTGTACTGGGAGTCCCCTGGGGACACAGCCTCAGTCTCACTCACTCTGGAGCCCCACCATTATCAGAGCTCAGAGTTGAACACATAGTTGGCCTCAGTGGGTGGATGTGTTAGACTGACTGAAGGCCCCTGGGCCTTAGGAAGGCGACAAGTGACAGTACCTTCCCCTCCACCCTGGACCCAGAACTCAGAGCTAGGAAAAGCTGCTCTCCTGGGCCAGCCACTCACTAAAAACCAAGAGGATCATGAGGGCTCCCACTCCGGCCCGGCGACGGCGGCGAGAGCGCGCGGGCCGGCTGGCGCGCGCCCCCGATTAAAGGGGCCGCCGGAAGCCGCGTTCCCTGCCCCCTCCTCCAGGATGACCCGGCCTGGACCCTTCCCAATCCCCGTGGGAGGGGACGCCCCTTTCCCAGCCTCTCCACGCCTCCGCAGCCTCAGTCCTCCCCTCTGGGAATCTCCTTGGTACCTCCAGCTCCCCGTGTCCTAAAGTGAACTCATTCCCCCAAGCCAAGTATCCTCCTCCAGACTGCCATCTCAGGATGGCCCACAACCCCCAGGCCCCAGCTCTGTCCTGACCTCCCCCCAGTTTAGTCCCCAAACTGCTCTTTGACTGCCCATCCCCGCCCCCATAACAGCCATCACCATCTGTGACCACCACAAATTCCATGCACTCTGTGAAGTGCCTACAGAGACACAGAAGCATAGAGTAGGCAAACCACTTGTTCTGGGTCACACAGCTCCGAGGTGGCAGAGAGCCTTCAGCCACAACCACTACACCCTGCTGCCTGACCCTGCCCTGTCACTGCTTACCAGGGTCTGAAACCAGCTGCTGTGAGGCAGAAGAGGTGGTATTGTGAGAAACCCACAAGCAGACTCTGAAATCAATTGCTTGGGCTCAAATCCCAGCATTGCCACTTCCTTCCCATAAAACCTCAGCCAAGTCACAGCTGTGTGACCTCCCAGTCCAGTCCCCTACACCCTGGTACTGACTTTATGGTTTCCCTGTGGGCAATGGGGAGCCCTGGAAAAGCTTTACAGAGTACAGTCCAAGCCCCTCAGCTTCATTTTCCTGATCAGATTCCAACACATTTCCAGCTTCATCCCTCCCCCTCCACTGCAGAAAATCTGCTGCTCCTCAAAATATCATTTTAAAAAACTTTCTAAGTCAGGAGGCCAAGCAGGAAACGTAAATGTGTGAAATGCTTTCAAAGGAGAGTGTGGACCCCACAAAAAAGGAGCCTCTGCTACTTGGCTTCAGCCAGTTGTTAACAGGAGGGATAGTAGGTCTGCTGCCAGGTTTCTTTCCTTCCTCCTTCCCTCCTTCCCTCCCCTCCCTCCTTCCCTCCCCTCCCTCCTTCCCTCCTTCCTTTCTTTCTCTCTTTTCTTTTATTTTGAGAGAGATTTTTTTTTTTTTTCAAATCAAGCACACTGGTTTGTAACAGTAGATAACTGATTCTAAAATGTTAAATATACTGTAGTCCAAAGAAAAAAGTCTGTCGCCATATCCAGGCCTCATGTGCCATTCCTGCCCGGATCCTGCACACACACTGTTCCTGTGCCCACCAGACCAGAAACCTCTCATAGGCAGAGCCCAGACGTGACTCACTCTAGATCCCAGCATGGCCTAGGGATATAGGGTGAATGAAAATGGTCCCACATCCCCTATTTGCCCTCCTCCAGGCCTTGCACATGCTGTTCCACAGAAGAGCATTTCTAGATTGCCTGAAATATTCTTTTCCTTCTCTACTAGCAAGTTTCTACCAAACTTAAAAAATACAAGGGTCTTATGTCAACTCCCTCATCAGCAGGGCAGAGTCATGACTCCCTCCTTGGACTCCCTCAGCCCCTGCACCTCTCTCTCTCCCAGATGCAACCACTAGGGCTGAAACTGTCTGTGTTCACCACTGTACTGGGAGTCCCCTGGGGACACAGCCTCAGTCTCACTCACTCTGGAGCCCCACCATTATCAGAGCTCAGAGTTGAACACATAGTTGGCCTCAGTGGGTGGATGTGTTAGACTGACTGAAGGCCCCTGGGCCTTAGGAAGGCGACAAGTGACAGTACCTTCCCCTCCACCCTGGACCCAGAACTCAGAGCTAGGAAAAGCTGCTCTCCTGGGCCAGCCACTCACTAAAAACCAAGAGGATCATGAGGAAGGTACTTTATTGAAGTGATCAGAGTATGGGATTCCTTCCCCTAACCCAGCCTCAGCCTGCTCAGTACAGTCTCATGGGTGGAAAGCACCAGGCCTCTGGGCTGCTCCGGGCCACCACCCAAGAGAGGCTGGGCAGTGGGGCAGGGGGGCTGGGGCTCCAATCCAGGGCAGAGGTTCGGGAAAACAAGGGTGATGGTGGCTGAGGCAGGGGTTGCGGTGGGCCAATCCCCCAGGGCCGGGGAAGGGGAGGTGTGTCTACCAGCCAGATGCTTTTCAGCAGATCAAAGGCTGTTGGCGGGCCGCAGGCCGCCCCAGATGGCGAAGGCAACGAGGACAATGGGGGTGGCCAGGGACCTTTAGGTGGTGCCAGGTTCACCGGGTACACAGTAGGAGTGCTGGAGGTGTGAGGCACGGCGAAGGTGAGCTCCTTTGTCCCCTCTCGCCTCCTCTGCCTCCCCTCCCCTGGGGCCTCCTGAGGGCTGTTGATCCAGGAGGATGTCATCCTTTGTCTCTCAGGGCCCCTAGGCTTGGTCTCTGGCACAGAGGAAAGAAGCATGGGGCACAGCTGAGATAGAGCAGACAAAAGAAAAGGAAGCTCAGGGGGCAGGAGGTGAGCTCACCTGGCAAGTGTGGCTGGCAGCCCCGGAGCACCAGAGTAAGGTCAGGCACACAGCCATGGCAGGCCTGTAAGGTGCCCACGATGGCATCCCTGGCCTCTTGTACTAGGTTCCTCCTGGGGAAGGCCTGTGGCAGAATCAGCTGGCATTGCAGCTCCCCCAGCAGCTGCCCCAAGCCAGGGAGCTGGAGGGTACTGGGTGGGCCTGGGCCCGAGGCTCCAGGCACTTGGTTTTCCTTGCCCCTTGACGGTGGGGCTGGTTCTTGGGCCCTGCCTGGGCTTGGGGAGGCCTTGGTGGGGAGTGCAGGGGTGGCTGACTCTAGGGACCCACTGCTAAGCAGCCGTGCCACGTCCAGAGATTTCACCTCGTGGCTGAAGAGACCCCGGTGCTCCCGGCTCAGGCGCCCCTGGGTTATGACCACAAGCTTGGGGGCAGCAGGTGCCACAGAATTCCGGAGAACCACATGTGGATCCCGACTGGCCACGGCAGGATCCTGATGGGCCAATGACCGGCGACTGCCCACCAGGGCCTCGTTACGCTCCCGCCTGGTCTTCCGACGGCGGACACGACCAGGTTTCTCAGGCCGCTGGAAAGGCTTGAGGGCTGGCCCCCTGGGGTCCATGGTGCCCTGGAAGATAAAAGACAAGGTGGTTGGGCTTCCCTGGTGGCGCAGTGGTTAAGAATCCGCCTGCCAATGCAGGGGACATGGGTTCGAGCCCTGGTGCGGGAAGATCCCACACGCCGTGGAGCAACTAAGCCTGTGTGCCACAACTACTGAAGCCCGCGCGCCTAGAGCCTGTGCTCCGCAAGGAGAGAAGCCACCGCAATGAGAAGCCTGTGCACCGTAACCAAGAGTAGCCCCCGCTCGCCACAACTAGAGGAAGCTCACGCGCAGCAAAGAAGACCCAAGGCAGAAAAAAAAAAAAAAAAAAAAAAAAAAAAAAAAAAAAAAAAAAAAAAAAAAAAGACAGGGTGGTCATCAGCATGCAGATAAGTCAAAGACCTAGAACTGAGTAGTGAGAAGAGGTGGGTTGGGGTGAGCTGGGAGTACTATTTTGAGACACAAGATGAGGACAAAGGGTTTGGTAGAGAGCAACTGGAAAAGGCTTGGTCAGGGTAAGGTCAGAAAAAAGGGCAGGGTCATAGGAGTAGGATGAGGTCAAGGGGGTCATGCTGAACGGGAAGATTTATCAGGGGATAGAGAAAGGGTTAGAGAGAACAGGGATATGAAGAAATAACTAAAAATGGGGGATGGGAAATGGATCATGATATTGGAGGGATCTGGTGAACCAGAAAGGGACTTTGGACAGAGGAGAAATCCAGGGGTAGAGGAGGTACTGGAGAATGTAGAAAGTGGAGAGAGATGGTAGAGAGAGAAAGGCAGGAAAGAAAATGGAAGTTGGAGAAACACAGAATAACTCGGGTGGGCAGAAAGGGCAAGAGAGGAGCTATCAGGGACTGCGGTCTGGTCATAGAACGGGGTAGGAAACAAGGCTGCGTGGGGCAGATGAGGTAGGGAAGGGAGTACAGTTGGTGGGGGCAGGGAAGGGGAAGGGCACCTCACCTTCTCCTGCCCCCAACGAACCCCGCCCCCCCCACCCGCCCACTCCACGTGGCTGTGGGGTACAATGGCTTCTTTTCCGCGT